ATAGTTCTCTTGTCTACCTCAATCATGAATTACACTTCCCACACTTGATTATTTTCTTAAGCACTTCCTGAAAACACTTATAGTATTGTTGTGAGCTAAGTCACTGACCACTACTCGGAATATTAGAGTCTCGTGCAATGGCACTGCCCTCGTAATACATAACTGGGCATGATTTTATAGCTTATCTGTGATCACTTTATCATCAATAACTAAGCTCGGTGGTCATTCTACTCACTTTGTATTTCTTACACATTCTAGACATATTCCTTGTGGTAATTATACAATTTTCCCTCATTACCGAACTGATTTTCTTTTTCATATCCATGCTAACTATTCGGGTTTCAAATCTCTAACTGGACTTATTAAAAATTTTCACATCATCCCTTAGACCAAAGATCTTATATTTGCGAATCCTTCTCTTTTTGTTGGGATCCGATAACTTTCCTTATTTTCTGCAATTTCTTGCACTCTACGTCAATGACGACTCATCTTCCAACTTACTTCTGAGCTAGAAAAACTAAATTATTTACATATAGGAAAGTTGATGTATCCACAACTATCATACACCATCTTAATAATTTAACTCTACTCACACTATCAATCTTGGAAAAACCACATTTCGATAATTCCTAAAGTCTATTCTTCTATCGCTTGCTCTTTCACTACTAGCTATTTTTTTTCCACTGTCACTGTACTTCAGGTTTAACTTAAACTTCATGGGTTCTAACACATATTCGATATTTTTACTGTCATCCACTCGCTGGAGTTAACCTGACTAAGTGAATCAAATCTTACCTCTACTAGCTCTGCTGAAATTGCTAATTCACTATATTTAGTCAAAACTAACTTACTATTCTTTTACTAACCACCCGCTAGCATCATGTTTTCTTGCTCTGATTTGAATAACTAAAGTGAATCATAAGGTTTATCCTAACTTCCCTCATTATCTGACCATATTCTTTTGTCGTACCCTATCATTCTTTTGAACTATGCACATGGATCACACTTAGAGAAATTTCATCTGTCTTAAATAAAATTGGAATATCTAACCCCAAACTTTCTATACACTTCAAATTCACTACAGACTATAAACCTCCGTCCTAACACATAGTCACATCATGTGAAGTGGAACTGTCATATATTTTATCTCACAATAATAGCCACTTCGTATACAAATTCACTGACATGGTACTTTCTAGTTCTGATTTGAATAAATCTAAACAACTTAAAATCATTCCTTAAAATTCAATGTCTCCTGCTCTTGGTTCTCATGTCGTACATTATATTATTCTTAGCTATATTTCCCTTAGGCTCTTTTCTGCCCAAAACAATAGTGATCAATTCTATGCCTGCTGCGGTTGAATTCTTAACCGGTTACACCGTGAGGTCTGACATACGGATACATTGCCATACACATCTGATAATTACTTCATGCACCATCTGGTGAGTCTTGGGTCTTAATACCTAAAACATGAGAAGATTTTGCTATAATCACTGTTACTTACATTTTCTTTTAGAACCCGTAGGCATCACAGTATACTCCCAGGTCTTTAGAAATTTTGATACACTAAAAAATGGAGGTCTGGTAACTGAATAATAAATAACTAGCATACTGAATAACCATAAACCTGCTAACTGAAAGACTGTATGACTGGTAACTGAGGTAAACTGATAACCATAAGACATGATAACTACTTTTGTACTTTCTGATAAGGTTATGCTCTAAATCTATAATACTATCCATTGCATCCCACTTTTAACATCCTTTAAAGTCTCATATTTACCAACCTGTACTCCATGATTATACCCCAATAGGCAATTATCCTCTCTAGGACCTTTCATTTCTCTTGCGCGTCGCTTGGGACTCCAATACGTTTGGAATTCGATAAGAAGAAAAGGTTACCTTTTGCTATAAGCTTCATGGCACCATCTAGAATAGAAAGAAATCAGACAATCCTGGATGTCTTGGTAGTTAACCATTTATATGAGTGGCCGACACACACTTATAAAGGAAACTCCACTAGACACGACTTCATAGACTCCCTAGGACACTTGAACCTAGTACTCTGATACCAAGCTTTGTCACGCCCCGAACCTGGTCCTGGACGTAACACGACACTCGGTGCCTGACTACATGTGACCGAGCGAACCAACTGGCTGGCTGAATCCACATATGGTATCATAACATACTGAATGCGAAAGATAAACTAATACATGCTGATATACTGAAAGTCTGGATGATATAAATCAAAGTGCGGCAATACTAATACAATTCTGAAACATATTTGTAGCCAACATAGCTTAATATGAAAAATCTGAGACTCTGTCTAACTATTACTCTAGCCTATGAAGCCTCTATTGAAGTACTGAAAACACTGACTATCTGTAAATACTGAAAGGTTGTAAAGTAATGATAATGCCCCGAAATAATTGGGGATCACCAAATAGCTGGTACGAGAATCCTAGCGCTCTGCGTCGTCGACTTGTAAATCATTACCTGCATTGTGAGATGCAGGCCTCGGGCAAAAAGGGACATCAGTACATTTGAATTGTACTGGTATGTAAAGCAACTGAAAGAAAGAATTATAAATGCTGAAACTGAAAATACGCTGATAACTGAGAATTTATAATTGATAACTGAAATAATAACTATTCAAACTGAAACTGAAATGATAACCGATAACTGGTAATTGAACTGATAACTGATAACTGAAAGGTAGCTAATAATTAAATTGAAATGAAGTAAGGATATGAATACCCCCTCTTCTGAATGATGAACAACCTGTTTATCTGAATATTAAACTGCAGCCTCAGGCCTAATATATATATATATATGTGCACAAGCTGCGGCCTCGGGCCCAAGTATACGTATACATAACTGCTATCGTAGGTCCAAAATGCATAAAGCATAAACTGCAGCCTCAGGCCCAAATACAAGTGTTCAACATTCAGGGATTTTAAATCAGGAACTGAGAATCATACTGCAATATATGATAGTCAAATACTGAATCACATTGAGTTACATAATACTGGAATACTGGATCACACCGAGTTACATAATACTGGAATACTGAATAGGACTAGACTGAGACATATATTCTTGAACTGATTATGAACACTGAAACTTCAACTGTTTATGGCATACTAAGTAATCCATACTAAGACTCGGGGGCATCAAACCCAAGTCTATATTGAATACGCACTGAGCTCACAACGTTTAGAATGAAAGTCATGAACGAGTTATGAAGCTAGAGAATAGAAGCTCTACAATTATTCAAGGAACTAGGCTTAACTATATTTTTGAGGTAATTGATACGTCTTAAAAGAAACGTAGTGTAGGGAGAATCATTAATATTACCAAACATAGAGAGTTAGCCTCACATACCTTAACTTCCTTCTCTTGAGCATAATACAACATTCGCCAACCCTTTCAACTTTAATCTATATCTATACAATTCAAAGGAATTCCAAATTAGCAACAATACCCATGTTTTGGTCACTTAGGCATTTTATCAAACACTTGGTGAGTATAAAGCTTCATAATCTCTGTTAATGGTGTTCCTAAACCCAATAACCCATTCTCTTACTCTTGGATAAATTCTAAAGTTTCAAATGGTTATAATCAATATTATTCTTTATCATCCATAAGGTAAACAACACCCTTAACTAATAAAGTTCCATTAAATAAACATCTTTCAATCTCTATAATAGTTGTTTAATCAAATTGGGAACTTATAGTTTCCAATCACCATACCAAAAGTTCCAATACTTATTCATACTCATATTCCCTTAATAAATCCATACATGAAAGTATAAGGGTGTAGGATTACCTTTTTGGAAGAAATCTTGCAAAACCCTCCTTTGAGTTCTTGAAGAAATCCCTTGAAGATCTAAGTATTTTATGTGTAGATTTCATCAATACTAGTGTATAAATGATGGAATTCACACCAAGATAATGGGGATTACTTACCTTGAAGATGGGAGGGGTTGGAGGTCTAGAGAGGGTAGAGGAAAACCCTAAAATTCATCCAAATGAAGTGGGGCAAATAACCCCCGAAGGTTTTATATCAAAATAGGGTCGGGTTGACAAAAAAACGAAGATTTGCACAGTCGCGGCGCATGGGGCGTCGTGATAATGAAAAATGTGTTTAGAAACGAAATTTGGAGGTGCTCTGTTAATTTACACAGCCCCGCCGCATGGGGCGGTGCATGGGGCACTGTGGTAGTGTAAAATTGTGTGTTACTTTTGGTAATTTGGTCATAACTTCTGGTAGGAGTGTCCAAATGACGAACGGTTTGAAGCGTTAGAAACTAGACTCAAAGATATTTCATTTTATAGGTTGTGCATCACATAAAACCTTATATAAATGTAGATATTCCCGTCCAAAATATAGTCTTATGCGTGCTCATTTAGAATTTTAGTCTATCATGTAATTTTCCAACTTGGCTTAGACTTAGGTCTTTTCTTAGACCCCAAATCACTTATGATATGCCTCGTATACTTATTATCATAACCAATTGATAACCACCACATTAATACTCAATTAATTCATCCACAACTGATTCAAATTTACGGGGTGTTACAAAGGCGGACGTACTATGAAAGTGTATCGAACCAAGCACATAGCAAAGATTCCATAACTATATATATGGGGGGAAAACCTTCTGGAAAGGGGACTTCTTCTCTTTCTCTTTCCTCTCCTCTGTAACCTTCATAGTAGAAGGAAGAAAAAAACAATCTCCAAGGGAATATGTAAAATGGTTTTCTCCACCGATTAATGGGAGGCAAATGAAAAGCATCAATAAGATTGATCACCTTTATTTTGTCTTATGCATTATTTTCTAATTCGTTTATAGATCTGGAGTTTATTACGTTTGACTAAGATTTACCTCTTCATCTTCTTTAATTGATTTAATAAAAAAAGTTTCAATATCTTTTGGATCAAACAAGTATATCTTAAGATATAAATAAGAGTAAAAAAATAAAAAAAACTTTCGTATTTAACATATTCTCAAGGGGCGTATAAAAGAGAAACATGACAAATAATTCGAGATGGAGAAAGTACTGTACAAATTTTCTTACGCTGACAATATAAATATCCAATATTTCACTCTTGAACTATCTTTATATTTATTCTTCAGAAATAATGTGTCGAGGGTGCAAAATGGAAATAATGCTAGCTAAATACCTTGCGAGCGCAATAAGATGACGAACCATTTGGAGAAATCCCATAAAGAGGAGCTCTCTCTTCAAAGTTGTTGTTCAAGTGGGGTTGAAAAGGAGAGTCAGCATCACCTGCCCAAATTCAAGGGCGTACACATAAATTTTTATAAACGGTATCAAAATTTATAAAAGAACTAAAATATAACTTTGATTATCATACTTTTAAATAAAAAATAACTTTAGTCTATTAGTTTTGTTGAGTCTTAAGTTAGAAAATATCATCACAAAGGCTCTCTCAAATATTTGCAAAAGAAAAATGTGTTAGTTGAGGTTTGAATCTTGACCTTTTAGAGACACAATTTATGTTAAATGATGTTATTTTTTTGTACTTATCCATTTTCATACATGTATAATAAAATTTTCCGACGAAGCGGTGTCGCGTGACACCACTTTGATAAGCGTGCATCCGGCCCTGCCTTGCTCAACAACAATAAGATAAAAAGGATACTTAAGAGTACCAAAAAGTAAAAGAAATATAAAAAGGAAAATCGAGCAATATACTATCAATGTTTCTACAAGAGATTCTAGTGTAGTAGTAACACATGGAGCACGTTCTTTAAGGTATATTGACAAACTTCTATGATATATATAAAATCTCCTCTCGTCCTGTCCATTTACCAAGAAATTCATTTATTCACATAAGGATGTGGTTTAATTCAGCTGATACAACCAAGGAGTTATTCGAAGCAGGCAGTTACTTAATGAAACAATCAAAGGTGTGTACAAGTTAGCCAAATGCGGATTTTATAAATAAAGTTCTCATTTAATTGCTTTAAACAATTATCAAATAATCACTTGATCACAAACATTTAAATAATCTAACCCATAATTAAGGACTTGTCACAAATTGATGTTTTTCTAGTAGTGACCTGTTTCTTCTGGTGGAGTATTCAGTCTCACCCATTCGTCAACAATATCCTTCCGCCTCCTGTAAAATTACCCAATATTTCACATAAATACATTTACATGAAAAATACTACTCCTATTATGCCTTCAGAGGGAAAATAAAATAAAATAAATATTTATAGTGTTAATTAGAAGGAGGAAAGAAACCTGATAAGTAGTTTAACGAGTCTTCTTACTTCATTTGATGAATGCTTCCGCAGTCTATTTACATGTCTTCCAACATCTGTTATCTTCAAAACAAACAAACTTTTAGATAATTAATTAAGAGAAAATGCTAGTTCAAATTAATTAATACCATCTTCGATTACCTCAAGAACCTTGAAACTAATGTCCATTTCAGCAAGAGTTTGGAGCAGTTCAACCAAGCAATTCTCAGACTGAAATTCCACGGACTTGAAACTTATCAAAAAACAAATGAAAATCCAAAAATAAAAATTAAAAGGAAAACCTGATTTGGGTATTCCAAAAGCTTCTTGATTCTGATGATTTTGGTCTCTAAATCTTCATAATTGCCAGCAGAATTACAATTCTTACACAAAAGCGGAGCATTGAGCTTCTCAACAATGGCGTCTCTTCGGCTGAGAAGCTCGTTTTCATGATCACGAATGGCTACAGAAATGGCTGTGTCAATAAATGTCCACAAGTCCACACTTGAATTCTCCAACATTAAACGGAATTCATCTAATTCCATGTTTACACAACTATGTGGAATTCTTAGTCCAAGTAGGAAAATGTCTCTCTTATGAATTACTGACGGTATATATAATTTAAAATTATATTGGAAGAAAAAAAAACAGGGCAGAACAGAGAGAGAGAAGGCAGAGTTTGGGACAGAGTGAAATGGGAATACAATGGGGACAAGAGTCAATGGTATGGTTTTAAGTGCTAAGTTAAAGTGTTTTTGTAGCTTTGGAACACATTCTATGTTTTTGTCGTTATTGTTTTATACTTTGGAAATGGCGTTGGTTGCTACCCCATTTATATTGTTTGTAGCCTTCTTTGGTTAGCTTCTACCGTGATATATTTATTAGCTAAGAATTTACCGTGGGCACACTCATTAAGAAAATATTAAATTCTTGTCTAATTGGTTCATAATAAGTGATCAATTCTATATAAATGGACACTTATTTTGGACTAAAATAAAAAAGCAAATTGGCCACTTATTATGGACCGGAAGGAGTAATATTTGGAATTTTTTCATTCCTATACACTATTGAAAACTTTATTACCCTAAATGTTCATGTTTAATAAATTTTATTGACAAAATATATATATTCCACCTTAAAAGCTAAAATTTGTATATAATAGGTCAACATGGGGTCGGTCGAAACTCTTTTTTAGTGAAGTGGGAAGACAGCACCTAATCAGAAGGGAACAGAAGAAGTGGTAACGAACGACTCTTGAGGAAAATGGCCGGACATTTTATTTTACATAGAGCTATAGAACCAAGTTACAATAAACGACAAGTTGTGAATCAGACAGGAAGATGCACATTAAGATTCTGCAGATGGAGTGAGGTGTGATCAATTTCAGATATTCTGAAACAAATAAAAATCATACATATAAATATTTAAATCTCAAATTAAAAAAATCAGAAAATAAATTACCTTACATTTAATTTTAGTACAAAAATTGGTCAAAATGATCCTTCGAAAAAGCAAACACAGAAAATTTAGATTGGATGAAAGGAATAGATTATGTTAAACTCTATGAATTACTGCAATATCTCAGCAACCAGATAATTCTGTCAGTGAAATTACCAGGAAGAAATAAGTATAGGATAAGATTATATAAAAAATATTACTATTAGAAGGAAATCATTTCTCATGTGCTGGAATATGCTGATTCTCTCTTCTACAATTAACTCTCTATTTGAGCTCAGATTGTCTAAGGAAGCAACTCCCCAATTCAAAAATATAAAGAAATCAAACATATAGTTCTCTATTTTCAGACAATTCACGCGTAAAGTTAAATCTGCATTGGATTAATGATCCAACCAATTTGTACAGTAGAAGTTTTTCCTAAGGAAAAAAATGTTTATGTGCAGGTCTTTAAAGATATCTAGTCAAATACAACTACAATAATATAGAACTCAAATGCAAAATTTATACAATATGTCTAATTTTATATTTGATTTATACATAGTAAAAACAAATTTTATATAACTAATTATATATTATACAATTTATCTACAACTTTCACACATTATTTCTACCCAGTTAAATACAACTACAATAACATACAACTTAAATACAAGATTTATACAATATGTCTTTTGTATATTTTGTATCTGATTTATACATAGTAAAAATAAATTTCATACAATTAATTATATATTATACAACTTATCTACAATTTTCATACATTATTTCTACTCAGTTATATATAACTACAATATCATACAACTTAAATATAATTTTTATACAATGTTGTTCAACTTTCATACAATAGTTAAATAAATAAAAGAAAAATATATAAACAACAGAATACAAATTTTCTACAATTTTACTATAATTTCATAAATATAATGTATATCATGTCTTCTTCAGCCAAAATCAAGTCTAATCTTCACCAAAACCCCTTAAAATTGAGATATAAACTCCAAACCATATTCCCAATTATTTGCAAACAACACCCAATCTAAACAAATAATAATTTTTAAAAACCCAAATTCGAATTCAAAGCTTTTTAATAGCTGTCAATGGTGGAATTGCTGCTCTCTTTTCCTTTGCTTTACATTACTGAAATTAGGGATTGAGAGATAGAGAGAGACGTAGAAAAAATTCTCAATTCTTTGCAACAACATCCAATTCAAACAAATAATGTTTTTTGAAAACCCAAATTCAAATTCAAAGCCTTTTTAATGGTTGTCAATGGTGGAATCGTGGATGGGTGAAAGATATGTTGGGGAGGGTGTCGCGTCCCCTTTTTCCTTGCGGAGTTCGGATTTCGACATTAATTGGGAACAACTCGTTTCCTTTTGGGAATTGGGTATTTGAATTTGAAGAGTCGCCACCTAACGAATTTAAGGTGCGTTAGGGCACCTAGAGCAAATAGCTCACGAAAACCGGTTTGCATTACCAGAGATTGGAGTAAGGGCTCGAAATAACCTTAAGGAAAAGGTGTTAGGCACCCCTCGCGGTCCACAATGGTGGGTTCCGGCCGAACTTGATTTATGTGAATTAGTCATTTAACAAATAGATAGTCTAAGCACACATATAAGATAGAGAAAATTGGACAGATAAGCAGTCTAAGCACATATGTACGATAAAGGAATTTCTTACAAATAAGCAGTCTAAGCACATGTATGTAAATAAGATGAGGGAGGTCCTAGGTTTGTCAGCCTATAGGATCACATCTGTACAATACTCGGTAAGCCTTCCCAACTAGAGGGGTTACGCGTGGCATTGGCGCACATGTCATCATATCCTTTAATACCTAATTCTCTCCCCTTGGTCATAGCCTAAAGTGTTCTAGCAACCTTAAGATATATCCTATGCTTGCACTGCCCGTTCCTTTACTTATATAGTCCTGGAGGTACTTTAGGAATTATTGTTAGGGTAGATCTAGACTCTCCTACAGTAATTAAAAGGAGAAAACTCTAGGCAACAAACAAAACAATCAGGACTGTGTCACGACCCGGACTTCCCACCCTCGGGAGTCGTGATGTTGCCTACTAGTGAAAGCTAGGCAAGCCAACCGTTTAAACAAATTACCTTTTTTCCATTTTAATTCTTTAATAAATGTGAATCAACAGTTTATAAACAACGAAAATTAAACAAGCGGAAGAAACAATTAAACCATTTAGATAATTCCAATACGATTCCTTAAACAAAAACTACCCAGAACTGGTGTCACAATTCCACAGACTATCTAGGAATACTACAAATAAAAGTCTGAAAGATTTATTATAATATTGTCTCTGAAATATGTTAACGAAATAGACTAAAAGGATAGGAGAAGACGCCAAGGCCTGCGGACGCATGCAGGACTACCTCGGAATCTCCGACTGGACTGAAGGCAGCCACCCAAAGCTATGGTCCAAAAGCCGCTGCACCAAAATTTGCACACAGTACAGAGTGTAGTATCAGCACAACCGACACCATGTGCTGGTAATTCCCTAGCCTAACCTCGGCGAAGTAGTGATGAGGCTAGGACCAGACTACCAAATAAACCTGTGCAGTTAACTCATATACAACGGAAAAGAAGAACAGTAATGTACAGTTAAGGATGGGAGGGAGAAACATGCTATAGAGAAACATCAATTATGAATAGAAAGACAACAAGTAAATACGAGGAACACCATATCTCAATTATCAGCAAGAATCAGAAATCAAACAAGTGCACGACATCACCCTTCGTACTTTTACTCTCGTCCTCACCACTAGAATCAATATAAACTGCACAACATCACCCTTCATGCTTTTACTCTCATCCTCACCATAAAATCAATATAATCGGTACGGAATTGTACATCGTGCGACATAGCATCACCCTTCGTGCTTTACGCTCTTCCTCACAAAATCATACATGGCATCACCCTTCGTGCTTTAACACTCTCTCACCAAAACAATACACGACATCACCCTTCGTGCTTAACACTCTTCCTCACCCAAACAACAATCACAAGAAATATTGGCAAGGAAATAAATAAAATCACAATAAAGTCCCGGAAGGGAATAATAGTTCAACAATCAAATCCCGGCAAGGGATCAATATCAAAAGCATCAACATCCCGGCAAGGGAGATAGCATTAAAAGCAACAACATCCCGACAAGGGAGACAAGATAACAATTCTCTTCTCTTTTTCACTTTTACTTCACAACTCACTTCACAACTTGAGCCAATTCTCTATAAGGTTCAATTGCCAATTATACTTCCACAATTCATTATACAACCTGAGCCAACGCTCCTCAACGTTCAAATATCACTATTACTTCCATAAATTTTACTCAACAATAGAAATCACCACCAAAAGGCATGAACAATACAAACAGAGTCATAATAATCCTAATATAAGACTCATGGGCATGCTTGACACCAACGTATAGATACTCCTCACCATGCCTATACGTCATACTCAACAAATAACACATAGCAAATAGGACTCAACTTCTAATCCCTCAAGCTAAGGTTAAACCAAACACTTACCTCAATGCCACGAACACAATTCAAGTCTCAACTATAGCTTTACCTCTTTATTCCACCACCAATTCACTCGTATCTAGCCACAAGTTACTTAACTATATCAATAAATGCGAAATGAATCAATTCCAATGCATGAAAATAAGTTTTCTAAAGTTTTTCCTAAAATGTCAAAAATCGCCCCGGGGCCCACATAGTCAAAACTCGAGGTTCGAACCGAAACCCGATTACCTATTCCCACCACAAACCCAAATATATAATTTGTTTTGAAATCTGACCTCAAATCAAGGTCCAAATCCCCAAAAATTGAAAAACCTAGGTTCTACTCAAAACGCCCAATTTCTCCCATGAAAATCATTTATTTTGAGTTGAAATCATGTAAAAAGATGTTAAAGATTAAAGAAAACTAGTTAGAAATGACTTACAATCGACTTGGAAGAGAAGTTGTTTTGGAAAATCACCCAAGGGAGTTTATGTTTTGAAAGAGTTTGAAAAATGGACGATTTTCGGCTAAGTTGTGAATTTGCAGGTCGCAGATTGCGAACCCTTCAGAAGTCTTCTATTCTCGCATTTGCGACAAAAGTTTGCATTTTCGAACTCGCAATTGCGATGGGGGAATCACATTTGCGACAAAGGGAATTGCTGGGCCACTTCGCATTTGCGAAGAAAGGATTGCATTTGTGATCAGCCCTGCCCAGGCCTTCTCTCGCATTTGCGATAGGTTGGTCGC